TTATCATTCCAGTTGCCCTTTTCTGCACTGATGTCTAATTAAAGTATACATAAGACTACAGACTTAATCAGAATATAATATTTATAACAGGTAAGATTAGTAAACGTCAAGTTTCTGGCTAGTGTATTTACAGTAAAAACACAAAAAATGGTAACACAGGTGGTTTTCCTGCAGTGAGAATATCTACAGAGGAAACTTGTCAAGTATGAAGTGCCTCTATGTGAATATCATTTTCCTCACTGCCCATTCTATGCTTTCCAGCTAGGCTAGACCAATCTTAATATTTATCTTCCCCTCCCTGACCACATGCCTCAACCAAACCCCCTTCAAATTCTACCTTATTTTGTTTATTCTTTAAAATCACTTTTCGCTACTCCACCCCTTTCTGAAAGCTCTTTTCATTTAACCCCATTGCTCCTCTATGAATATAATTTGATCACCCAAAAGGCCTAATTTCCTCTGATCCTGCCTTCATATTTTAAGTAAAGCATTTATGTAACATACAATCTCAGTGACAAGTAGACTGATTATGACCTAGCCAGTTTTATTGTAGCTAGAAAGGCAGAAAGAAATCCGGTAAAAATAGCAGCCAAATAATTAGGCAAGACCTTGCTTCTTTTCAGAAGGAACCAGAAGACTATAAAACTGCTGTGCAAATGTTGGTGTCTTGCAGCTGGGCAACTTCTACAATACATATGTAGAAGGACTGTACGAAACTCTTGCACTGAGACATCTGGCAGAAGAATGTGTAATAGAGCTCATCGTTCAGTTCGACTATCTTACTCTTGTCATTGATCTCTAATAGCATTTTTTGAAAAAAACATGCAGTCAAAACAGATTGGTTAGAGAATTAGTTTTGATTAGAAAGAACTGTTCTGTACTTACTGAGGCAGCAACGAGTCTCTAATAAGAGACAGAAGCTTGTTGTTTGAGTTAAGGTTCTCTTTCTCTTCAGCCATGACCTCGTGGCTCACAAGCAGTGATGTGGTTTCTGAGAGCAACCGCAAGCTGAAGAGTCTCCATTCCACTAGAAAAATCAATGTGCCAAGAATGTGACCGCACTGATGGCTAATTAAAGCAAAATGGATATTTCAGTTGATGTGGCCATATATTTACCATTTTGACTGGAGACCAAAGAAACTAAGGGTGGAAGGATGTAATCCATAACCTAAAGGGGAGCACAATAAAAATCTGGTTTAAATTATTCAGAAATAAAAATAGAATTCATATATAGTGTAATCTACATTTATTTCCCAACTACTGCCTCTAATCTACGAGCTGAATAATCAAATATATTTTCATTCACAAACTCGTGTAAGGACAAATTAATTTCAAGTAAATGTCTCGATCTTACCTATGAGAATATATTCTGTTGTCTTAAGTGAACGATATCACTAGTTCCTAACCACCAGTCTTACTATTCAATTAGCATAGAATATTAGATAATAAAAATATACAAATGAAATCTATGTTAATGCTAATCCTGTACTGTATAAAGGAAGAAATATGCTCCAGTGGCACATTATCTAATGTCATCTGATCAGTTGTGTTTACTGCTGGTTTATTGTTTTTAAATTTATTTATTTACATATTTATTGAATTGTATTTATAAACTGTTGTAAACCACCCTGAGCCCCACTGGGGGGAGAGCGGCATAGAAATAAATAAATCATTGATCATCCATTTATTCGGTATAGTGGAAGTTTTTGTGCCAGCCAATAAAGCATTCATTCTTAAAAAAATTTAAAACTGAAAAGTTAACCTAGAACCGAAGGACTGACGGACTAATACCTACTTAAAGACAGCACAGACAGGCTTCTGTGGTTTCCCCATTGCTGGTGTGGCTGCCAATACAGCTCAGCAGCAATGCAGCTTCTACATGGAAGGTTTCCTCGTAGTTACCTGGTCCACATTTTCCCTGCAGCAGCAATCCCTGCTCCCCTGAACTATTGGGGATTTTTCAGGTGTTTTTCTTTCTTTCTTTTTTAAATCAACTGAATATCATATTGATATAACATTATAACATTACAAAAGTAAGTCTCTAGTCTTCTCCATTACAGTTATTTTTCCCCTTGCATTTCTGCAATGGAGAAGGCTAGAGACTTACTTTAAAAAATAAATTGAAACTTGGAATTCAGAGAAGCCTTTAAACATATTGTTATACTGATATAATGGCATTCAACTCCTGAGTTTTTTTAAAAATAAAAAAGCCCCCCCCCCCGGGGTGGTAAGAGGAAATGGCTGCTGTGGGGACAGCGTCATGGAAAATGTCACGGGTAGGAAAATCCAGTCCACTGAATATTTGCATACAGGATCATACAAATAATGTGAATACATACCAGTTTAAATAACAGATGTACCGTATTTTTCGGACTATAAGACGTACAGAATTTGACGTCCCATGTTGGTATTGAAGTTCTTGTGGACGTCTAGGGCATAGTGCCTGATGAAGGTGTTAGGCGTGGCTCAGGTAGCGGCTTTGCAAATGTCCGTCAATGGCACTCCCTGCAGGAAGGCAGTGGAAGTCACGACAGCCCTGGTGGAATGAGCCCTGATGGGGCCAGGCAATGGCTGTCTTGCGAGTAGGTAGCAGAGTTGTATTAGACCTACGATCCACTTTGACAGGCGTTGCGCCGTGATGTGACTACCTAGCCGTGCCGAAGCATACGAGACGAATAGCTGTGGGTCTCGTCTAGTTGGATGTGTTCTCCGTAGATAGAACAAGTGACCCCTCTTGACATCCAGAGTGTGAAGCAATCTGTCCTCCTCTGACATGGGGTTCGGAAAGAAGTCAGGTAGGAAGACCTCCGCCTGCAGGTGGAACTCCGACACCACCTTGGGCAGGAAGGAAATGTCTGGCACTAAGCGTACTCCATCTGGCAGAAACGACAGGTAGGGTGTGTCATAGCGGAAAGCCAGAATCTCTCCCACTCGCCTAGCTGAGGTGATGGCAATTAAAAAGGCCGTTTTCCAAGCCAGGAGTTTGATCTCGCACATTGTGAATGGCTCGAAAGGTTTTCTTGTCAACTGGCGTAGAACCAGTGGAAGGTCCCATGGAGTAGCCGGAGTTTTGAGAGGGGGGTAGAGATGAAGCAAACCCTTTAAAAACCTTTTGGAAAGTGGATGTGAAAACAAAGGACATCCTTCAACTAGAACATGGTAGGCCGATAACGAAGCCAAATAACCTTTTAACGAAGAATGGGAAAGTCCCGAGTCAGCTAGTGAGAGAAGAAAACTAAAAACTCAATCAAGGCCAGCCGAGGTAGCATGAGTGAGTCCATCTCCCAGAAAAGAACAGAACTTCCTCCATTTATAGTCATACGACCTGCGTGTGGTTGGTTTTCTAGAATTCAGGAGGACATTAACTACACGGGAGGAGAAGCCTGTGGTGTTATATGCCATGCCGTCAGTTTCAGCTGAGAGACATTGTGATGCAGGACCGGGGAGTCTGAGAGGATGAGGAGGTCCGGGGACGGGGGGAACTGATGGTACACCCCCAGTGATAGCTCGAGGACTGTCGAAAACCAAGGTTGTCTTGGCCACCATGGTGTTATTAGGATACAGTCCGCGGCCTCCTTGAGAATCTTGCGGACCACTCTCAGAAGCAGAGGCAAGGGGGGGGGGACAGGTAAAGGCGTCCTGATGTCCAAGGGTAAAGGAGGCCGTCTCCCAGCAAGTGAGGGTCTTTGCCTCCTAGACTGCAGAATAGGTGACATTGCTTGTTGTTCCTGTCTGCAAAGACGTTGACTTGGGGAGTCCCCCACTTGTGGAAGAGTGGGTGGAGGTATTTTGGGTTCATTCCCCAATTGTGCAGGCTGAGTTCGGCTCGACGTAGACGGTCGGCTTGCACGTTCAGGCGGCCAGGGATGTGAGTGGCCAGGAGGAAAATGCCGTTGTCGATGCACAGCTCCTACAACTGGATGGCTAAGTTGCATAGACGCTGGGACACAGTGCCTCCCTGTCGGTTGATGTACGACAGCGCCGTGGTGTTGTCTGTCAGAACCGTGACACATTTCCCCTTGAGTAGAGGGAGGAAGGAGGTGACGGCGTGTTTTATGGCCAGGAGTTCGAGGAAGTTTATGTGCTTTCTCCTTGTCAGTGCGTCCCATCTGTTTCCTACAGACAGCCCCATCCCGTCATGGAGGCATTGGTAGTCATGGTGACCTCTGGTGATGGAGGATGAAAGGGCGCTCCCTGTAAAATATTTGAAGGGACAGTCCACCAAAGTAAAGAGTCCTGAATACTGGGAGGAGGGGATAGGACGACTGAATGTGCATTGATCGACATGTTGTAATTGTGCAGAAACCAAAGTTGCAATGGGTGCATCCTGAGTCTGGCGAAGACCAGAACCGACGTAGTTGCTGCCATTAACCCCAGTAGCCTCTGGATCTGAAAGGAGGTGACGGAAGGGTGGGTACGGATGACGGTGGCGAGGGAGATTATATCTGCTGCCCGGTCGTTGGGCAAGTAAGCCATGCATGCCTGTGAATCCAGCATCGCGCCGATGTATTGTATGCGCTGGACTGGACACATATGAGATTTCTGCCTGTTGACCCGAAGGCCCAGGCTTTCCAGCAATGACAGAGTCTCCGTGATGTTTGAGACTAGGGTGGTTTCTGATGGTGCCACCAGAAGCCAATCATCTATGTAGGAGTAGATGGAGATACCCTGGAGGCAGAGGAAAGCTGCAACCACAATCATGGTCTTCGTAAAGACCCTCGGTGCGCTGGAGAGGCCGAATGGGAGGGCCATATACTGAAAATGGCGACAACCAATCATAAAACGTAGGTATTGGCGGTGGGAGGGATGCATAGTGATATGAAAATATGCGTCCTGGAGGTTGAGGGTGGCCATCCAGACGTTTCTGCGAAGGAGTGGCAGGATCTGTTGAAGCGACACCATGCGGAAGCAGTGATAAGCCACATAACGGTTCAACTCCTTCAGATCTAAGATGGGTTGAACGCCCCCGTCTCTCTTTGGGACTGTGAAGTATCGGGAATAGAATCCCGTCCCGTGGAGGTGTAATGGTACATGTTCGATGGCTCCCTTCTGCAGAAGGACGGACCCCTCCTGGAGAAGAGGCTGGGAAGGGGGTGTGGACACGACGACTGACGCATTGGGGTTCTGATTGGATTTGATTTTGTATCCTCGGGTCTAGATGGCTAGCACCCACTCGTCCAAGGTGATGTAATGCCAGGTATTCAGAAAAGGTGACAGACGGGTAATTGCTGACTCGGTAACAGGGAAGTCAAAAACTTTGTTTGGAAGGTTTGGACTGCTTTGAGCGTGAAGCTTGTTGGCCTGGTCCGAATTTGGGTTTTTGGAAGGTGGATTTCTGTCCCCCAGAGGACAATCTTGGTCTCCATCGGGAGTCTGGAGATTGGTGAGTAGGTGTGCGCCTCTGCCATGATCTCGACGAGGTGCGGGGATGATACTGTTGTCTCCCCGAGGATGAGACTCCTAAAGCCCTGGACGCTTTTATGCTTTTGCCAAGCTCTTGTAGCGTGGAATCGGTCGTAGTATGAAACAACCCTAGTCCGTCAAAGGGTAGGTCCTCAACGTAGGCCCTAGTATCCACTGGCAAATTAGTGCCTCTGAGCCAAGAATGCCTCCTGAGAGCTATTGCAGAGGCCATTTGTCTTGAAGATGCTTCAAGGACGTGCTTGGTGGTATTGAGTTGCTGTTTCGACAATACCATGCCCTCCGCCTGTACGACCCTGGCCTCTCATAGTCATCTGGTAGGTGACTGAGTAGATTGGAGAACCGCTCCCACAGGGTATATTGATAATGACTCATACAAGCTAGGTAGTTGGAGGCTTTAACTGCCAACGCTCCTGTGGAATAAACTCTTCTGCCAAAGGCATCCAATTTCTTTCCTTCCTTATCTGAAGGGGCGGAATGCGACCTTTTGGACTTGGAGGATGACGTAATAACCATAGAATTTGGTAGAGAATGGGAAAAAAGGAATTCTGCTTCCTTATCCTGAACTCTGTACATATGGTCCAGCTTTTTCGTAGAAACCGGTGCAGAAGACAGTTTTGTCCATGGCGACTTAGCTGCTTGCAGCAGAACAGAAGACATTGGTAATGCCAGTGTGGAGGAGTCATCAAGTTGGACAATGTCATAAACAGTGTCTGATGTGTGATGTTGTTGCTGGACTACCGAGAGCCCCAGAGACTGGGTCATTCTCTTCACGAGATCTGTGTAAGACGTTAGGTTATCTGAAGGTGATATAGGTATATTTTCAGTAACATTCTGTGTTGGGGACTCATGGTCGGGAGAGGTGTGAACCTCTGAAGCCTCAGTATCAGAATCGGCGTCGACATCTTCCGATGAGTCCTGTTGTACCATTTGGTCAGGTGTGTCCTGCTTAGGTTGGACGACGGGAGTTACAAGGCTTGGAACGACAGGAGGGTTGAGCGGACGATTTTGCTCCAACGAATGGTGGGGCGGATCGACAGTAGGTGGACGTGACAGAGAAGCAGACGGTTTTGCTCTATGCGGCGATCTCGACCGATGGACGGACCGGACGGAGTAACGGTCCCAATCGGAGTAATCAGCCGGCGTTAACCAAGGCAGAGATGGTGGGTATGCCCCATAAAGGTATCGCAGCTGACGCTCATCCCACGACATCGGTGGTGGTGGGGGTAGGAAGACTCTCGGAGATCGACTTCTGGACCGTGGACGTCTGGGTGAATAAACAGCAGGTCGTCCACTAGAACGGTCTGTATAGCCACGACATGGAGGGTGGCTATGTTTAGTAGAAATAGTGTATCGGTGTCGAGGGAGCGCAATGTCGGGAGCTTCAGACACCGTCGATGTCGACGACTGCGAAGGTGACGGGGAATGCTCTGCACCCAGCTGGTGACTAACGAGTTCCACCATGTCATTGGAGTAAGGACAGTCCGTGGGACGTACAGGGGAGTCCAACACATGGATCGTCTGTATCGATGGGGTCGCCTCAGCCTCCGGTTTCGATACTACCGTCGGAGCGGGAGGTACTATCGGTGTCATGCCTGCCCCTGCTGATGCCATGCCTGCCCTTGCTGATGTCCCTGAGGAGGCACCTGCCAGCCAGGAGCCTGTGGACTTACAGGCTCCTGAGGACAGTACTGCAGCAGAAAGGCAAAGACTGGATCCTGTAGCTGAAAGCTACCTAAGTGGTGAGGAGGATCAAGCCTCTCAGGGAACACCTGCAAGGGATCAGTCTCTGCTGCAGCCCAGTAGTTCATCAGACTCGCCCCCACCTGTAACCAGGCTCCGGAATGTAAGGAGACAGCAGCTGAGAGAGCGAAGGCAGAATGCATGCATGCGTGCCAGAAGATCTCTCAGCCCTGCCCTGACTATTGACAGGATCCTTGCTCCCGGCTAGCTAATGAGTTGATTAGCTAGCACTGTATATCTGCAAGTCTGTTGCCAGCAGTCATTTGTGCTGGCAAATGTTGTTTGTCAGGACCTGAATCCTTGCATCTCTGCTCCAGACCTTGTGGAAATTCTTATCAGCTTGATCCTCGGCTTTTGACCCTCGGCTTCGTTGACCTTCGTTCATCTCTGACTCCTCTGGTATCGTGATTTATGGACTTGAAACCTTGGTATGTCTGACCCTGTTTCTGGACTGTGATTTAAACCTGTTTGAACCTTGCTACCTGATTTGCTCGGCTTGACCTCGGACTGTTCCTGGACTTTGGCTTACTTACGTCACGCCCCCTGGTCCTGCCGTGACAATTGGGGCATCACCCAGTACCGGTACCAACTCCTTCCCCTTGTTCGTCGTCTTAAGGGCTTTGGAGGAGCCCTTCTTCACGGACTTCTGGTCCATACTTGCCTTAGCCTTCTTCTTGACCGGCGTAGAGGCAGAGGATCGAATTTTCGATGTCTAGTGTTTCGGTGTCGGACGGTCGATATCGGACACCGGTCTCGTCGCCGGAGCTGTGGAGGTGGATGGTCCTTCATCCATGGTTGAAGCTGGACCAAGGTCAGACTCAAGCAGAGCTACTTTCAGTCGCGCGGCTCGGTTTTTCCTCGTTTGGTTCGAGAATTGGGCACAATGCCAACAGGACTCCGGTTTATGCGCCTTGCCCAGGCAAAAAATACGACGTTTGTGTCCGTCCGGAGGAGCAAGTTTGCTTCCACAGCGACGACAACGATTAAAAAATCCCCACTTCTTCTTCTCCATAAGAAGTGGATGCGACGGTTAAGAGGAGGGGGGGCCAGCCCGAAGGCCTGAGGTAAATTTCCCTCAGAAAATAAAGTCCTCCTCTACTCCTTTTTTTTTTTAAAGAAAGAACGAAAAGAACAAAAGAACAAAAGAGAATATAGTCCTAGAGCTAGAAGTTTTTTGGTAAACTGCTAACAGCGATTCCGATTAGAAGAAGGAATAATAGGTCTTTCCAACGCGGTGGTAAGAAAGGAACTGGTGGGATGTCCGCGCCCAACCCTCTGGGCATGCGCGGTGGGGTTCCTGCGCATGCCCAGTGGGACTGGGTGCTAAAATCCACCTACTTAAAGACAGCACAGACAGGCTTCTGTGGTTTCCCCATTGCTGGTGTGGCTGCCAATACAGCTCAGCAGCAATGCAGCTTCTACATGGAAGGTTTCCTCGTAGTTACCTGGTTCACATTTTCCCTGCAGCAGCAATCCCTGCTCCCCTGAACTACTGGGGATTTTTCAGGTGTTTTTCTTTCTTTCTTTTTTAAATCAACTACATATCATATTGATATAACATTATGACATTACAAAAGTAAGTCTCTAGCCTTCTCCATTACAGAGTTATTTTTCCCCTTGCATTTCTGCAATGGAGAAGGCTAGAGACTTACTTTAAAAAAGAAATTGAAACTTGGAATTCAGAGAAGCCTTTAAACATATTGTTATACTGATATAATGGCATTCAACTCCTGAGTTTTTTTAAAAATAAAAAAGCCCCCCAGGGGTGGTAGGAGGAAATGGCTGCTGTGGGGACAGCGTCATGGAAAATGACACGAGCAGGAAAATCCAGTCCACTGAATATTTGCCCACAGGATCATATAAATGTTAAAACATACCAGTTTAAATAACAGATGTAGATATAATTTTAAATAAACCAACAGCATAGCCATATAACTTAAAGCTGCTTGAAGATTTCTTTTGCAACTTGTTTTTCTTTCCTCCATTATGCAAGGTGGTTTTAAAAATATTTTACTCCATAAAACAAGGATGGTATCCAACTCTGTTGACATTAAGTAGCCTACCCTCTGGAACCAATATTAGATGCACACTTCTGGTCAGAGAAAGGTTACTATTAAGAATTTCTATGTTTAAAGTATTGATCTGGAACCTTGAACACATCCTGCTTCAATTTAACAAGAAAGCACCAAGTCAGTTTGGGTGCAGAGCATTTACAGTCATAGATTTTAAGTCATGCACAACAAGGAATTAAGACATCCCTTGAGTGAAAGAATTTCTAAACTGTTTATATGCATCAAGTAAGTGAAGTGGTAAGTTTCTCCTACAATGATGCTAATCCATATTCTAAAAAATTAGAAGCATATACCTTTGTGCTGCAGTACAGCACTACTGATCAGGGCACTAATATGTTTAGGGATTTAGGGCAATCAAAAAGTAAGTATCCATGTTATTCTGAATATTTTTAAATTTTCAAGTCATTATCTTTTTTCTGACCTCATTCACAACCCCCACAGAAAAATCTTTCATGACTTACAACATGATGAATGTACAAAAGCTAAATTGGCTCCAGATACAGGATTAAGGCTACAGCTAAATGTTCATATGAACATCTGATTCAACAGAGTTCAATTCTAAACTACTGGCAACTGAATAAAAAAATCTTAGTGAAAAATACTTAAATCAATTTCCTTTCTTCTCCTGACAGTTCATTTTTTAAACCATGACCCTAATAACTACTGACGATCTGGAAATATTCCATTTATTAGTGAAAGAACAGCCAGTAAGCACATAAACGTTTCATGTAGTGCCAGGACTTACTGTTGAACAGTAAAGCATCAACAAGGATGGATGCTGTATTATTGCCTCAAGTGTTGATAAGGCAGACTTGATCAGTTCTTCTGAAGCTGTTTGTCCTGGGGGGGGGGGGGAATGACAGCATCTTTTTTAAAAATCAAAGACAGAAAATATTTTTTATATATAAAGGGAATGACAAATGTTCCAGAAATACTCACCAATTGCTCCACGTAAGTTAGTTTCTCCTGAATCTATTGATCTGACAAAATTCTAGAGCAGGGGAGCAGAACACACAAATCCAGAAAATTAGTTTAGCACTATACGAAAAGTCTAGATTTTATTATATATAACATAGAATACTTATGTGTTTACCAAGTAGTAACAGTAATGGCAGCAGAGAATATAATGGTGTACTCTGTAAAGCTGTTTAAGCACATTTAATATTTCAGAACTCACATATGACATAACTTTATAACATAGTTTTTGACGTTCAGTCAAGTTTCACCTCCATTAATACTATGAACTGAGTGACTTTTAGCATTAGTAATTTCAAGCAAGATAATTTTCAGATAAAATATAACACTGTTAAACAATGCACTTCATTAGTAGCTTAAGATTCCATTTTCTAAAGGAGTTCTGAACTATCAGGGTACAGATTCAAAAGATTAAAAGGCTTCTAGAAAATAGTTTTCTGTTATTTGTGAGATCTTTTTGAGCTGCTTCTCATAACACACAATCTATGAATACATATTAAAGGAAGTGCAGAAAATGATACCCTCCCACACTTTTAGGATAACCTAAATAAATCATCCTTCCTGCTGAAGAACAGAAAGATGAAATATTAATGTTCTGGGATAAGTAAATATCTCACTATTATCCCCCTGCTCTTGTGACAATTTATTTCCATTTTTGTGATTCAATTTTAAGCATGGAAGATATTTTATATGGATGTAACAGATATGTCATTGATGCTTATGTGCCAGAAAAACAATAAGCCTCTGCAGAACGCAAAAACAGGTTGCTTACCTGTAACTGATGATATTAGAGTGGTCATCTGTGCATTCACACCTCTGGGTTATAGTGCACTTGCGCCAACCCCGATCGGTATTTTGGAAAGCAAAAGGGATTTTTTGCGCCCGCTCCCCAGTCACGTGCCGGGTTGCACTGCGCATGACTAGGGGGAGGGCACGAGGATCCCGCCAGTTCCTTCTGACTGCTGCCCTCAGTCTCCAAAGAAAGGAAAGGACTGAAAGCAGAGGGGAAGGAGGGTGGGTGGTGTGAATGCACAGATGACCACTCGAAGATCATCAGTTTCAGGTAAGCAACCTGTTTATCTTCTTTGTGGTCTCTGTCCATCTCACCTTTGGGAGACTAGCAAGCAGTACACGCCTACTTGGAGCAGGGAGCCGAGGTCCTAATTCTGCGCCGCCTGAAACACTGACCAACCTACTGCTGAACGCTGGTGAATGTGCACATCAAGGGCATAGTGCATCACAAACATGTGAGGAGTGGCCCAGGTCGCTGCATTGCAGATATCTTCTAGTGACGCACCTCGCAGGAAGGCTGTGGATGCGGCTACTTCCTAGGTGGAATGTGCCCTTAGCAACCCCGGAAATGACTTCTTTCCTAACGTGTAGCACAGTTTAATAGTCTCCACAATCCATTTGGGTAGGCATTGGGACGACAGCTTCTTCCCTTGGGAGGGTAAAGCATAAGAGACAAACAAGGCCGGTGACTTTCTAAAGGGACTTGTTCGACTCAGGTAAAAGAGTAGCACTCTTTTGACATCCAGCGAGCGAAGCCGACATTCTTCCTCGTTCAATGGGGATGGGAAGAACGCTGGGAGGACAATGTCCGCTTGTAAGTGAAACTCAGAAACAACTTTTGGTAAGAAAGAAACATCTGGAGCCAACGTGACCCCATTATGACGGAAACTCAAATATGGGGGGTCACAATGGAGCGCCGACAGTTTGCTCATCCTCCTGGTGGAGGTGACTGCAATTAAAAAGGCTATCTTCCATGACAAGAGATGCAAGCTACAAGTAGCCATTGGCTTGAAAGGCTTGTCTGCAAGCCTCGTAAGCACCATGGGCAGGTCCCATGCTGGTGTAGGGCCATGCGACGGTGGGAAAAAACAAAGTTAACCATCAATTGGTGGGTGATTGTCCGAAATTGCGGCCAAATAGACCTTCAATCAATCAATTTATTTCTACAGTTCTTAGACCAGTCATATAAAAAGAAGCACACCTTTACAATATTCCAAGATTTTAAGATACATCAGTGACACATTAAAAGCAAATTAAAATTAACTAAGTAGCTACCTTAGAGTTTCTGTGATCTGAGTATCACCATACAGAAACTGGCTACTTAGTGAGTAATTTGGGGGTTTCTATCAGATAGAAGAAAGTAAAGTCTAGCTTTTTCGGAAAGACCCAGAGTTTGTTCAGTCAGTGGAGTAATTTTATTACGCACCACCTTATAATAAAAAGGTAAAGGTTCCCTTGCTCGAAAGCCAGTCGAATCCGACTCTAGGGTTGCGGTGCTCATCTCAGTTTCAAAGCCGAAGAGCCAGCGCTGTCCGAAGACGTTTCCGTGGTCATGTGGCCGGCATGACTAAACACCAAGGCGCACGGAACGCTGTTACCTTCCCACCGAAGTGGTCCCTATTTATCTACTTGCAATTTCTTGCTTTCGAACTGCTAGGTTGGCAGGAGCTGGAACTAGAGACAGGAGCTCACCCTGTCTTGCGGCACCCGGGTCTTGAACCGCTGAACTACTGACCTTCCACAGCCTGCAGTTCAGCGTCTTAACCACTTGAGCCACCGCAGCTTATAATACAGACATCTAAAAAACATGTGCTCTGTAGTCTCAACCTCCCTTAATGGGCAGGTACAAAGCCTTTCTGAGAAAGGAGTATTCTTGTATTTTCCTTCAAGTACAGCAGAAGGGAGGGCAGAGCACCTCGCCAGAGTAAAGGCTTTTCTAAACCCTTTTACTTCAAGAGATGTTAAATAGTTGGCTGGACCCACAGTATTTTTGATAATTGCCCTCATCTTAATGTTTTGTATGCTGGAAAGATCAGTTTGGCATTCTATAGCCTTTACCCCTTTAGCCAGGTATGTATTGATAGAATATGGACCCAGGCTTCAACTTTTAAACAGCTTGTCTCCAGTCTTACCCTGGCATTTGACTCACATCTAGGGATCTGTAAGATAGTTCTTAGGAACTCAGACTGAACTCTTTCTAGAGGTGCAAAACAGGAACTGGGTGGCCCCATAAATGAGCCATATAACAGTTGGGCTAGCATCTTGGCTTTATATAATTTAAGGGCTTCGGGAACATATAACCCCCCTAGAGAGTAATGGAATTTTGCAATACTATTTGCAGATCTTTCTCCTTGGTCCGCAGCATACTTACTATGTTGAAGCCTAGAACCCGTGGCCTGCAGGACAAATAGACCTTCAATGAGGTACAACTAAGGCCCAAGTCCAAACGGGACAATAGAAAGCCAAAAATTGCCATCAGATCGGATGGGAGTGGTGGCAATCCCAACGACGTAAGTGGGACAAGAATTTTCTCCACTTCCCTTTGTAGGAAGCTTGAGTGGATGGCTTATGACAGTTCAGTATGACATGGTCTATCCTATCTTTGAACTTTAGAAGAGGATCCTCCAAGCCGTGAACTTGAGAAGCTGCACGTTGTGATGCAAGGAGGAGATCCGCGACTGGAGGAAAATGTATGAAGGAGCCCTTGGAGAGATGGAGCAGAATGGGGAACCAATGTTGCCGGGGCCACCATGGAGTTATTAAGAGGCTACAAGGTTTCTACTTCATTATTTTGACTAATACTCTGGAGATTAGTGGAATCGGAGGAAAGAGGAACACGTACATGCATGACCATGGGACAAGGAGACTGTCGCCTAGAGACAGGGGATCGATCCCCGCTCTTGAACAGAACAGACGACATTTCCTGTTGTGGCATGTAGCAAACACATCCATCTCCAGATGGCCCCGTAAGTGAAAGATCGACTGGAGGTATTGCCAGTAGATCTCCCATTCGTGCTCCAACGCACAGCCCCTGCTCAGGAAGTCTGCCTGGACGTTCAGAGTCCCTGGGAGATGGGTAGCTTTCAGGGACATGCCCCACGACAGACAGTCTTCCCATATTTACAGGGCTAGACGACATAGTCCCCTGGATACTGTGCCTCCCTGTCTGTTGATATAACAGAGGGCTGTGGTGTTGTCCATGAGGACAGTGACTACCTGCCGAGCCACAAGGTGTCGAAAGGACCTGAGTGCATACTGCACTGCCAACAGTTCTAGGAAATTGATGTGGTGGTGGGCTACTTGGGGTTCCCAATGAGCCCCAACACAAAGTCCTTTGAGATGTGCGCCCCATCCCCAAAGGGACGCGTCTGTGGTTAACGTGAGCATTGTCGGGTGGGTGGAACGGAGCTCCCGCTAGGAGATTCGCAGGGTCCGTCCACCAGAGTAGGGAGTGCAGGACAGACGATGACTAGATGGAGGGATTGGGGATGACACTGTGGGCGGAACCTCCTGACAAACCACAGCTGCAATGGTCGCATGCGTGGTCTGGCACAGACAATGACATTGGTGGTAGCTGCTATCAAGCTCAGCGGCCACTGGACTTGCTTTACAGTGGCTGTTCCCGTATTGTGTAAGCGATTCACTAGATCGACATTGTCTTCTGCTCTCTGCGGAGGGAGGGAGGCTTTGCATACGACAGAGTCCAGAATAGCTCCTATAAACTCCACTCTCGTGGCAGGGAGGGGCATAGACTTTTGTAAGTTCACCTTGATTCCCAAGGATTCTAGGACAGTCAAGGTTAGTTCGACATGGGTGAGCAGGGATGCTTCCGAGTCTGCTACTAGTAGCCAGTCGTCTATGTAGGGGAAAACCTGGACACCCTTGAGGTGGAGGTGTGCCACTACTACTACCATGACTTTTGTAAAGATCCAAGGGGCCGTGGACAGTCCAAACGGGAGGGCTTTGTATTGGAAATGTCTGTTGCCTACCGCAAAACAGAGGAAGATGCAGTGGGTAGGATGGAGACGTGAAAGTAAGCGTCTTTGAGGTCCAAAGTCACCATCCATGTCCTTGAGCTTAGGAGTGGAAGGATGGTCTGTAGCGTTGTCATCCAAATTTTTTTGTAGAGGATGAGGCAGTTTAGGTTCCTGAGGTCCATGATGGGACAGAGGCCTCCGTCCTTTTTCAGTACCATGAAGTAATGAGAATAGAAGCCCGTGTGAT